CTGGTCCGCAGGAACGAGCGGCTCCGTCTTATCTTTGGAAATATTTAAAGACCATTGGTTGATGACTGCGCCAGTAAAGTCTTTTTTCTCCTGTCTGGCAGGGGCTCGGGCGTGCGCAGAAAAGCCCTGTCGTTTACCAGGTGTTATGCGGACAGGTGCCCAAAAGAGGCAACAATCCCATAGGCTCTCCCGGGCTTGTGATTGGTCTCTCAGAGGACAAATGCGAGCAGCCCTGTCAGATCCGACTGGATTACCTGGGGGAATTTAAACGGATGGCAATCAGGATAAGTGACACACTGCTTTAACACTTTGTTACCGAATACGGCAACAATGGAGATAGAAGTGGAGATGCAAAGGAGAGACCGCACGGTGCTGCTAGAAGCCGATTTGTTCGATTTGCTTGTATGTGACTTTGGGACCAGACTGTGGGTTCAGCCTGTACTCTATTTCCGACGTGCAAAAGCAAATTAATTTTACGCAAAAAATGAATGGACTGAATGTACTGAAGTACGGCGAATTAGATGTTGGGGTTGTACTTATGATTTTTACATTTAAATTTCGACAAAAGCCGAAAGTGTTTACTTTTATATAGGAATAGAGACTTACTATGTTTCTCCAGGCATGTAGGCGTGTATTTGAGTTAGTATTTTACAGTATACCTTATAGGATAAGCATACCTTTTTTTAAAAAAAAAAAAAACATTACAAAACAATTCCGTGCCTATTTAAATTATTTCTTTTGTCAGGAATCTGAAGCCGTTAACTTGAAATGGAGTACACTCACGGCTACCTGTGCCTTACTGGGCGCATTTAGTAAATTTCCACAAAGAGGTGCATCATTTTGAGGAAAACTAATTTAAGCAGAAGACACCCTGTGCGCCCACGCGCCGAAGCAGCCTCCGTATAGTCTCGGGTTTCTTCCTGAATTACGTGCGTCCTGAAAGTGTAAACAGAGCTACCTTGTCCGTCTCTCACACGGAGTGGGCGCTGATAATATCCAATCTAATTATATACACAACACTGACTGCATTTACATCGCACGACAGACTGCAAGAGAATACCGACCCTATTGCTTTCCAGTCCTGTCTGCCGTTTTAACATTTTCTTTGCCGCTATTAAAGTCCTTTACATTCATTAGTCACCGTGAGTCAAGCAGAAGCAATCAAAATATTTGTCATGGACAGCTTATTTTTCTTTTCCATTAATCTTCACTAGGCATAGAAAGACGTGCTTCTAAAACATTTGTAAAATGCGTTTGTACATTACACTGCGATCTTGATCAGGATGAGCATTTGGACGGTGGATGAATTTATATACTATTTTGATGTTCTCAAATTATTTTACGTGATATACAAATTATCATTCTTAATATCCGAAATTTGTTATCACTTAATGTATTTAATTAAGTGAAATATGTCAAACAGCGATTCACAAATATTTTGTATAGAAAAGTAGCATGGAACGATTTTACAGGGTCATTTATTTACATTTAATTAACACTTTATTTTCCGGGTAGATGTCTGACCGACATCTCACTGCATAATTGTACAAAATTCACTAATGTTATTCAAGAATTTACGCTACAAAAAGTGATTTAGTGTTTTATTGCAGAAAATACATCCACCAAAGACACAACAATAATTTAAGTTCAATAAGATGTACTGTGTTACATATATTTGAACTAACTTTAAAAGCTTTAATTGATTCGTCAAAGTTAACACTTACGACTTTTACACTGATTGAAGATATAGTACTAGTTCAGTGTCTATTATTCAGTGTGAGATTCAAAATACCAGTACAACCCAAGGAAACCTATGTTCCTCTTTTTCACATCAGGGTAGATTTCATATTCAAGACCTTGAGGACATCCGCCCTCTGTCGATGACAGCGGATTATTACGGCAAACCGTGTTCGGAGAGGGCTTGAATGACAACCGAAAGGAAGCACGAATGGATCTAAATTTTTCTTTGATGAATTGCAAAGCATTTTTTTCCAGAAAAAAAATCTAATTATACCCCACTGGTTATTGTATTCCTATACGAGAATATGCACCAGCTTAAACAAAAATTGTCAGTAAATTTCAAAGTATACTTGTCATCGAGCCACCTTTATGAAATGAAATAACGGATCAGATATTTCGTATATATATTGTGGAAAAGCTTCCACGGACTATTCCGTTACACCACAAGCAGTTTATCAGCGTAAAGTCCATCAGTGTACATACAACCAGTGCTGCCTGTTAAATAAAATCAAGACAGGGTCGCACATTCCGGCATTCAAGGTTACCTGAGGATTAGAGTGCATAGGACGGATGGGAAAAATATCATGCTGTTCCACCTGCTACAACAGAGTGCATAAAAAAACTTAAGCGCGAATGCTGGAATCGGCCGATAATCGCTTGATCTAACTCGTCTCTGTGAAACGAACTACTCACATCGTGACCATCGACCGTCATGAAGAAATGCAAATTTGTCTGCGTGTTTAACTTGAGAACTTATTCAAATTCAACTATTTGAACAGGAAATTTCTCACCTACGTCCCAAAATCAATCACTTCTAAAACAAACAGAAATCCAACACCGAGCTTGGTGTTCGTTGAGTTAGATAAAGGTGCTTTTAGTCCACTAGGTTACCGACAACCGGTCAGATCTGATTTATTTCGTTTTTATATTTAATGAGATTAAATAAACAATACTCTTTTACATCGCCGCAACGATTTAAGGTAACACGAAAAGGTTCTGAATATACGCAGGCTTACCTAAAGAAAGCGATTTCAACACAGATCAGCAGCGCTGAGGGTTTAGCTCTGCGCAGTTACGAGACTTGACTTGAGTTGTCCCAAGTGAATAAGAAGCTCCACAAGTTCAGCCCCTAAATAAAGCAAGAGAACTTCCTGAACGTTACGGTTCTGCAATACGTTTCATAAGAAAAAGGGGTTTGCAACCATTTTATGAGATTCTGAAACTGAATGGGATAGTCGCTTCAAGCAATTTTTAATTATTGGACACTTGCATAGTAAAAATGATTTGACTTCCGCTGAAAAAAAAGAGAAAACAAAACTCCGCGTTTCTAGTGCGCACAGATTTACTATTCAAATGTGAAATTGATGAAATTTCAGCACGCTAAGTTTTGTGCTTCTGAAAACCTTGACCAGCTCCGTATTTACGATATAATGCATAGAAAAGCATCTTAGTTTAACAACAAAAAAACTGCAAAAGTTCTTGTGGTAATAAAATTTTATGTCGACAAGAAAAGCCTATGCAAACACACTGAAAAAACGATAACGGTGGATTCATGTCTTAGTTGTCACGGTATAATTAACAAAATAAGAATGGAATTTTCCGCATCGAGGTGCGTGACATGAATTTTCAATTTCTGAACAAATATGTCTAATCAGCATCGAACCGTCGTTTCTGGAGAGTTCCATGGGCTCTCTCATAAAGGTTCTGATTAATGCCCTATCACTGCCGTCAGTGGCACCATAACCAGACAGTTGGTTTTCGTTAAGCAGTGACTCTAGATCGCACGCCGGAACAATTTTCTTTTTTTTTTTAGACACGGACTCCCACAGAGAAGCATCATAACCCAAAGGAGGCGATCTGGTTATATTTTCTCATTTCCTTTTCACCGGGGGCGGTTTTATATTTAGGGGTGTAGGTGCGGTCGTAACTTTTAAATGCTGTTCGCCAAATTAAATTGCCATTACTGATTTATTCTTAGCAGTGACTTAACATGTGTTGCAAAATACCGTCTAAGTGTGAATACTGATTTTTTAAAACGGTTCTTATTTTACAAAACTTTTATTGGCGATTCTGTGCGGAGCCTCATAAACACACCTTGGTGGATGTTGTTCATGCGCACGAATCTTACTTTGCACTGGGTGGCCCTTGAAACACTGGGAAAAGTGACGATCCTTCGTGTAAATGTAATTTTCGGACAATACCAAATCTAACGAGGACTGGTAAAAAAAGGCACCAATTTCTATTAAACCAATTTACTCCCAAGCTGTGGTTGGACGACTGCATTGTAGGACTTCGTAAGCTGATGTTTTGTGCGCTTTTCCATTCCGTCACAAAAAAAGTGAATTTGGGCCATGTAAATCCATCGCACCAGATAATAGTGCCAACAGCTTACATAGAGAAGTCATGGATCGAACAAACGTTGAACGGATATTCTGAAGGCGCATTATTTGAGAGAGAAACTACAGCCAGCGTCTGGCGTCTTAGTGAGAGTCAGGATGTTTTCAGCTTAACACGCTTTCAGCAGATTTCCTCAAACTCTTGTGGGACGCAATTCCGAAATATTCGTTTAAATTAAGATTTAGGATTAATTTTATAGAGCAGCGTATTGAAGGGTAAAAATTACGTTTAGTGTCGCGTTAACTCCACATAGCGCTGAATGTCCGTACCACGAATTACCGTCCCAGTGACAAAAAAAAAAAAACACAAGAGAGTCAATGGAAAAAAATCATTTTATTAAATAACATTTTATTTGAAACACATCACACATAGTGTTTATTTTAAGGTCGCACTGGACTTTGCCCAACACCAACTATTAGTGTTGCGTGGTTAGGTGACACCTGTGCCGTGGGCTGGGACCATCTATCTGGTGAAGACCGTTATTGGGTCTGGAAGCAGGACATCATGGGGACAGCTGTTCACCAACCCTCCCCCCCCCACCCCCCTCAAAAAAAGAAAAAAATACTGCCCCTTCGTCACTGCTTGCACCAAGAAGAGAAGGTGTAAGTTTCAAGTGGGGGGGTTGGGGGGGAGGGTACATCCTGGAGAAATGGACGACAACTGAAGAGAACCCCCCCCACACACACCCCCCCAGAATGTAGGTGGATTTTTAAAAATACTTTAAAGAGCCTTGTAGTTGTGTTGGGCAAGGACATCATCTGCCCGGGGGGGGGGGGGCTTAGCAACATTTACAGAGAGCACAATGCATTATGGAGGAAACAATGGCTGCCCCCTCTGTGCCCCGCTCTTCCGGGGGGGGGGGGGGGGGGGAGGTTGGGGGGTGCCCCCTCTGTGCTTCGCCTACCTTGCCGGTCCTGCCTGTGCCCACCCTTGGGTGACACATGCATTTTGATAATTCATAATGACTTTAAAATTCTTCCTAGTTTCAACTGAGCATCTCGCAATCGAGATAAAAAAAAAAACATATTTACAAGTGTACAGGATTAAAAGAGGTGGTGAGAGCGCTGTGTGTTTAGTGCATCAGTGTGCCCCTCCCTCGCTGCCCCGCCCCGCCGAGCCTGTACCCCCCCAGCGCCGGTGTCTGTGTGCTGCCTCTCGCCACCCTAACTGGGACCTGACGGCCCACATCGCTGCCATTTACTTTGACATCGGCTGGTGATTTCATGAGCTTCTGGGTTGTGCAACTGTGAATGGGGGGAGGAAGGGGAAGGAGGGAAAATCAGACAATCATTTTGCAACACTATTGCTTCAGTTCTAACTTGATTACATCCTCTTCAGCTACCTGCTACAACTGATTAATGTTACACCGTGGATCATGACTGGAGAGAAATGAAAGAATTCAAACTAGCCTTATTTTTACGATCACCCATAGGCACAGAGCAGCCGGTAGAGAGAAAGACACACACACACACACGCACGCATGCACGCTCACGCACGCACATACAAACCACGGTGTCGATGCTCTCGTAGCACGCTATCATCATGCATAAATAAAACGCTTACAAAACGTTGCTCGCCAAAGCTCTAACGGTTCACATAAGAATAGCTTAAGGAATGAAACGTCCCTCAAGGCTAATCTGTACAATCTCTGCAGATATTTAAAAAAAGGCCTTGTATCTTCAAGTCACGGTACAGACAGAGCGAGGGGGGTTAATTAACACACCTGTGACATGTCCACAGCGCCACATAAAAGGGGTCACATGAAAGCCAGCAGACTCCCGCCTGGGCCTGGCGAGTCCCCTGTAGGGCCTGATCCGCGCTGCTCGTCTGCCGATTGTTGGTTTGATCATTGCTCAATTAACACATTTCTCATCTCCGACACACAAAGTTGTCTTGGTCAAGAAGCAAAGGACAGGATTGATAAAAACCAGTATTGCACAAAATGCCTCCCCATGTTGTACCTGGTTGTATGTTGTACCCCATCTCAGCCGTGCTGCTTCCCCCCCCCCCCCAGCGAGGGTTGGGGTGGCCGACTATGGGCTTCTAGTCGCGCTCTACGATGGGCAATGACTCATGGTGACGGTACAACAGTTTTTGGCAAAGTAAGGCAGAGAGGGACAGAATACAACGTAAAAGCAGCTGTAACAGAGTCTCAGGGTTTTCTCCCTGGTCAGAAACGCAGAAGCAATTCAAACCTCGTGAAAACGTACAGCCTCCAGATGGAAGGAAGTGTAATTGTGAAAAAAAAATTAAAAATCCACGAAGAGGTGCCCCTGACGAGCAGAATCTCGCACCGCCTCCCTCCCTGCCTTCTTTCCCACGGTTGGCGGGGGGACATCAGCATTGCCTTGTCGGCAGTTACACAGTGGTTGTCTTGTGGCTACTGGGTGCTTCCGAGGGGACGCAAAGGTGCGGGCTACCCTCCTCGCCATCGCTGTCGCTCTCAGCCAGGTTGGGGTGCAGCAGAATGCGCTTGGTATCCTGCCGTGGCACAAACGCACGGGAGACGGGCAGGCATGTCGGGTCAGCGGCCGCATCGTCGTCCGAGGAGTGGTACGACTCGTCGTCGGCTATGTAGTGGTTGACGATGTGGATGCTGTCAAAATCGAGCCGGCTCGACGATGCCCCCGGGCGCCTCAGGCATCGGATCTGCAGGGGGGAGGAGGGAAAAGGGGGGATGAATGAGGTGACGCGTGCAGGGCGCCCCCATCAGGACGGGAAGACTAATAATACACTCTGATCTTTAGCACAGTGGGGTATGAGGAACACGTGTGTAGACATGCAATGTTCCGGTTTCTTAGACGTGTTCAGCCAAGGCTCGAATCGCAACCACAGCACATCAGACGGCAAATTTCAATAAGCAAAGCACAAAAAAAAAAAGAAAATAAATTAATCACATCGACAACAACGGCTCAAGTTTCGTCAGAAGGTATAAAACCAGGTTGTCACTCTAGAACATTCCAGAATGCATGCAAGGGACAGGGAGAGGCGACCAAACTGCTTGACTCTCAGCATCGATCACACTGCTGTGTGGTGCTCAAAAATGCAGAGCAGCAAAGAGTGAGGACGGTGCAGCATGTGTGAATGTAAAGGGCATGGATGATGCAGGCTGAGCTGACGTGTGGATGAAGACCAGTGCTTACCTGGTGTAGTCTACCTCACCGTGAAAGCCAAAGGGGGGGAGGGGGGGCAGTGAGAACAGCAATTTGGGTGCTCGTGACAGACTCCATCATTAAACCCCCAGCACATACACTGGAAGCACCTTTACCAAAAAGCACAATTACGGAAGCACATTCACTCCGACCAGAAATTCACGGTGAATTTCAGACCACAGTAGCTCAGATGGGGCGTAGGACTCACAAGAGCACCATGTTGAGCTGTGCATACGGCAAGTCTCCATTTAACATCTTTCTGATTTATAGATGTCATTCTAGGCGTGAAAGTGAGACACACGGCACCACAGGGGATCACGCAGGCGGGTCTGTGCCAACACCAGTGACCGGTATCCTGACATCTCCGAGTCTGCCTGCGTGAACCCGAGTCACGCGGCCCCTGTCAGCTGCTGATGGTTTATCGGGCCCGGCGGCACGGCGCTGATGCCGTCTCTGCCTCGCTATGCAGCTCCCCACGAAAAAAAAAAAACTCTCTCTGAAGGGGCAAATCCACGCAAGTAAACAACGATAGTTAAGAGCAGCAAAACGAAGACAATCAGAGCTGAACGGGTTCAAGTGTAAACGTGACAAACAAACTCACTGGTTTTTTGAGTCAGAACAGGAAACCAAACGACTGAAAGAAAAAAGAAGAAAAAAAAAAAAAAAACACTGCGGACACTGCACCTTCACCTCTCGATCGTCTCAGATTAGACAAAGTCGGCGTCTGCTCAATGCAGTGCTGGGCCTCCTGAGAGGGGACGTGATTGAAATTAGCAGCGCGTGGGAGCCGCAGCCAATCGATCGCGTTTGCCTTTTTTTGGTGACACCTTGAAATTGGGCTCGGTAACAGCTGGGCCTGGGCGGCCCCACGGCACAGAGCTCGCGTTGACTGATCAGCCTCGGCTCTCAGGCCTTGGGTCTATTTCTGATGCTCAAACGGATGCTGCTCTGCCTTGCAGGCTGTTTTTACCCATCAGGTACCATTTATGTCTCTGCAGAAGCTCCACATTGAGTGTCTTTCACTTCCACTGCAGCACGGAGCATCGTTTCATAACCGAACATGCAAATCTCCTATGTGGCAACTGTCATAACGCAGCAAGAATGAGGGAACAATTTCACTCTTCGCTCTGGACACCGGGTCCGCTCTGCGGATTCTGTGCTCTTTCGGTACGTGCGTTTGGTCCTTGAGCCCAACACAGGCCCAATGAGCTCGGCTACACACAGGCAGGAAAAACGGCAAGCGTTGCAACACAGGATGACAGGACGGGTCCGGGGCCCGTTGTTGGCTGGGGCACTAAAACACAAAGTGCCCTGAATGTTAACTGCCTCCACAAAGGTGTCTCACCGATGGGTTAATCCCACAGTCTGGAGAAAAGGGAGAGCATGTTTAGCATAACGAGGGTGTTGTTGACAGGGCAGGAAGCGAAGCGAAAAACGGGGAGGATTCAAAAAGGAAGAGCACATGGCGGGTGTTACATGGTGTTAGAGGGCGGAGGGCAGATTTGTGCCCAGGGGGCACACCGAGCCAAGCACCAGGTCCCCCCACCGCGTGGCCCCGGGGCCGTGACCGCCATGACGGTCTTGCTCGGAAACGTCAGGGTGAGCTGCTCCATCTGCCTGCCACCGTGCTTCTTGACTCGGTGCGGTACACGGAGCACTGCAGGAACACGGAGCACTGCAGGAACACGGAGCACTGCAGGAACACGGAGCACTGCAGGAACACGGAGCACTGCGGGAACGCTTAGCTGTGTATGCTGCCGAGGAAAGAGAGACGCGAAGCCTGAATCTGTACACTAGTTTACTGAAAACCTGGGCAAGCAGCTCATAGCTTTAGGTGCTAAAGCCGTGACAGGAAATGTGCTGTACACTGAGGGGGGACCACACCTCGACGGAGATCGTAAGAGACGAGACAGGAGAAGGTGTGAAGGGATCGATATGCTCCTGCTCAGGCCTGCAAAGACCATGTTGTTCTTTTGGGCGATAAAGCAGCAGGCCTACGCTGCCGCTCCTCCCACCGCGGCCCTGCAGCCAGCAGGCCTGCAGGAGGTCAAACCCAGGCTCCCGGCTTCAGAAACAGGTAGTGGGTTGCAGGGTGGGGCGGCTGAGAGTCAAGGTGGCAGTGTAACCGCAAGGCGTCTTGGGGAGTGCTATCTAATCTCCTCACGGGTTCCCCTTGGGCCACTGTAACCACTTAAATCAGCACCGGCAGAAGGACGTTCCCCCCCCCCGCCGTTCGACAAGTGCTGCCTATCAGATCCAGCTTTCGCAAGCCCCCCCGACCACCCCCCGGGCCACGCGAGGCCCCCACAACGCCAAGCGAGCCTGAGCGTCTGCAACAGCCTGACTGCTCGGTGGAGATAGGCCACAGCACTCAGCACAATGCATGATTTACTACTTTTCAATTTAGCCGCAAGGGGCTTTTTTTTTCTTTTCTGGTTAAAATCTCACTGCATCCTCCCCAGTAAATCATCGATCCAAAGCAGTGTTTCCCGATCCGGTCCTCTGGGAACCGCAGACAGTTCCACGTTTTTGCTCCCTCCCGGCTCTCAGCAAAAGCGTGGACCGTCTGTGGGTCCCCAAGAACCGGTTTGGGAAACACTAATCCAGAGGAAGCGGATTGGCTCAGGAGCGAGCACTGGGCGTCCATTAGACGACCGGCCTCTTCGTGTGCCCAGTGAAATATCCCAAAATATCACACTGCATACAGAGCTATATATGGGACTGTCTGATAAAATGACTCTGTGCTACTCAATTACACTCTTCAAAGCGAAGGAACCGAAATGAACAGCAAAATTAAGGCTAAGCGAGACCCAGAGGATATGAACATCACACTATATGTGCCCATATGCAAACATAACGCCTACTGCTGCTCTTAGCTCTCTGTTGCGGTTACCATGACAACCAAACATTGATGTCACACCTAGGGCATTAAAACAACAGATAAAATGTGCCTAATTGTCAGAAACAGAAGTATAATGAGCAAAATGTGAATAATACGAATTAAGGGGAAATAGAAAGGAATGGAAAAGGTGGATGGGGATCGATTGGTTTCTGAGTGGTACTTCACGGCTGATGGGGTTAAGTTTAGGCTTGGGATTAGGGTTAGGGTTAGGCTGAGAAGCTCGTGTGCCCAGACTGACCTGCCCTTCGAAGCTTAGACACTGGGGCATTTTAAGAGAAAACAACAATTTTCCTGGAGGAGAAACCTGGTCAGTTGAAGCTATTTGCACTTCCCCAGTAACAACACAAGGCTCATAGTAAAACCAGTACGGTTACACTCATAGTAAAACTCACTGGCTTGGTGCGGCCAAAATGGCGCCAAAACCTCAAGTAAGTCAGACGTCAGACAGGAATCAAGAAGAGAAATCTGAGAAGGTCCGTCTTGTGTTTTCACATCTACTCATAGTGAGAGACACATCAACTATATCACTCCGCAGTTCGATAAATGAAACATTTAAAGTGCGCTTGAGTGTACTACCAACCAACCACGTATCTGAGCTGCAAGCTCCGGAAACTTCCGCCCAAGCTGACTGGTGACCTGGTGCTGAAACTTCAAATCAGTATCACCCACAGCAACATCAACGCAATGACATCTGACTTCACTGAATGACTGTGACTGGATCAATTACAGTTACTAACCGATTCATTAATGCTCTAATAGCGCAGCTACAACCACAAAACCCAAGAGGCACAGAGCATCATCCGGGACTGTGGTCACCCACCCTCTGAAAGTCATCTCTCGGGTTATGGAAAGGGTGAAACAGGTTTTGTCATCTTTAAAGTGACGCTCAAGCTTAAGGTAGCCTCATAGGCTGACAGGTCTTCCTGAGTCAATGTCAGGATCGTTCTGAAGTCTGTTTAGCATAAAAGGGGAAAAAAAAACCTTCCCTATCTTCAGGAAGATGAATGTGCAAGCACTAGCGTGTGACTGGTTTCCAAGAAGGGCTGGAGAAGTAGAGACAGATTGGGTGGCTGATAAGAGGCGAACTA